GGGGGGTGTCGGGAAGGGGTGTTGAGGGCTGCAGGGGAGAGACATAGAGGGGTGTGGGGGTGTAGAGGGGTAATTGTTTTAATTTTGACGGAAGTACGTTCATGTCACATCAGAGTTCATAATTGGCAAAAAAACATGTAGCAGCAACTTTGTCATGGACTGAGTTTAAAAAGGCGGTTGTAACTCCGGCCGAGTCAGGACAACAGTGGAGTCAGGGTGAAAGTTTGTAATAGGCACTTGTGTCACGTTCCGCACGGTTCCATAACTTCGTTCCCAGCTGCCCAGGTTCCGGGCCGACCCACGTTTTTTTCTTTTGTCGTACCCACATTTTTTTCTTTTGTTGTACTCGTCATTTCCCGGTACCGGCCTGTAACATTTGTTTTTCGGCTGACGGCGGGGTCGGGAATCGGGACTGGTTACCGGCCTTCGCAGTGCTGGAGCAGCCACACCGGGTCCCGTTCTCGCTCCCACCGTTCCATAGTCGCTACCTGCTTGAGCCGCCCACGTGACTCAGGTGAGTGCTGACTCAGAGCCACGTGTGGTGCGAGAGAGAGAGAGAGAGAGAGAGAGAGAGAGAGAGAGAGAGAGAGAGAGAGAGGGTCTGAGAGACCATAGGTGGCACGTCAGAGAAACGTGGCACGCTGTTCCATTTGCAACGTCGCAGGGTCCGCCACGTCGCTCTCGTGTGCCACGCATGCTCTCTCTCTCTCTCTCTCTCTCTCTCTCTCTCTCTCTCTCTCTCTCTCTCTCTCATGTGTGGCACGTGAGAGCAACGTGGCAGACGCTGCGACGGAACAGCGTGCCACGTTGCTCAGACGTGCCACGCATGGTCTCTCTCTCTCTCTCTCTCTCTCTCTCTCTCTCTCTCTCTCTCTCTCTCTCTCTGTCTGTCTGTCTGTCTTTGTGTGGCCGCACGTGGCTGCGAGGCAGCAGTCACCGGATGGCTCAAGCAGGTAGCGACTATGGAATCGTGGGAGCCTCCAGGAGGGAGAACATATCTCTCTCTTTCTTTCTTTTTTCCCCAATTGGTGATTGCGATCCTCACCTCCATGGTGTACCTTCCCCGGGTAGATCGTGCCGTCATTATGTCGGCATCTAGACCGCTCGTTGCCCCAGATACAGCAATTATAATGATCGTGCACTCTGTTCGAATGGAAATGGCGTTCCTTCCTGAATCCTGACTGCAGCGGAAATGCGTCGAAGGAATTTGTTACCCGAATCTGGACATGTTTGAGGGTAGGTCCAGAAGACTGGGATTGATCTGCTTTTCAGCAGCACTGCAGCCTCTTTATTCAATCCTCTTCGCATGTGGGACCTCGGCCCTGGCCATTCTCTCTCTCTCTCTCTCTCTCTCTCTCTCTCTCTCTCTCTCTCTCTCTCTCTCTCTCTCTCTGTGTGTGTGTGTGTGTGTGGTTGCGTGTGTGTGTGTGTGTGTGTGTGTTTTGCGCGACATGTGACTCCAAGGCAGGACTCACCGGATCCACCGGCGGGAGATTCCAACAGAGATTGCCTACCTCCAGCATAGGATTCCCACCTTATTTCGGAGTATGTCCGATGGCTGGCCTACGAGAATGCGGGTAAACGGCCAGAGTCGGAGCTTGGGCAGCATATGACGCACGAGACGGCACCAGACAGCCTGGGACCTGGGGTGGGTTATACCAGGACACATCGGGCCTGCCATTAGCGCTTTTTCAAACTGGGGCTCTGAGATCATGGCTTGCTCCTGTTTTTTTTGCCTTTTCGAACTGTGCCCATTCCCCCAGTGCCATTTCGTGTTTTTTTGCCTATTCGAACTCAAAACCTGCCACGGCCGCTGTTGTTTCTTTAAATTTTTTTGTCGTTTTCGGTTCCGGGGGGCTCAGGCGTCGTCATCAGCAACCCCCCACTAGCTGCACGTTTTTCGAAAGTGGGTTGCAGGGGCGGGAACAAGGGTAGAGCGGGGTTAGAGCGGGGGTAGGGGGACGGAGGGCGGGTTAGAGCGGAGCTCTAATGGCGCCCTACCCCGCTCTACCCGTTCTTCCCCTGTTCCTAGGCCAACAAAAAACGAAAAAAGAAAAATGGCAGTTGCAGTGAAAAATTCGCCGAAAATGACACCACCTATTAACCATTAGTGTGGACACTTGCCATGGCCAGTCAACACTGGTAGCTCGCTGGGGCAAAGTGAAAAAATCGCCGAAAATGACACCACCTATTAACCATTAGTGTGGCCACTTGCCACAGCCAGTCAACACTGGTAATTCGCTGGGGCAAGTTTGCCGCCCCTGTAACCCGTAGCAAATGAGGGAGTATCGGGCCAAGTGGAAGTGGCTGCTCAGGTCCTGCTGCAGCAGTTCGGGATACAACCAATACACATCCAATAAGTTTGAATAAAAAGATCTCTCAGGTTGAGTTCTCAGTCAGTACCATCACAGATGACATTCATGGCTCTATTACGATGCCAATCAGGGTTGAGACCCCCATTTCACAATACTTCCATGGGCGTAAAAACTTTCAGTATACCTGTCACAGGAAGCTCAATACTTCAGGATCATGACATATAATCTACAATAACCTCCATAATCTTGAAGTACCTGGGGCCGGTCACCTGTGGATATATCTCAAGAGTGACCGCCCAAGAACATCCTTCTCTTCCTGATTTCAAAGTGCCCAAGTTAAGCATCATGCTGCTCAGGCTGGTGGAGCGAGCACTTGGCCAGTCCAGCGCTGGGGACTCTGTGGGGAGGAAGAAGGAGACAAGGCGCTCCGGCTCTAGATATGGTGGAGGAGCCCAGGTAGGAGGAGGAGGGACTCCGAGGGAGAGGGTGGGGTAGGAGGAGAGTGACGGAGGTACTTACCTGGCTATGGTGGACGGCATCGTCATCTTGTTGGTTGGCGCTACACCTAGAAGGCCCCAGTGGGGGTGCGCTGCTTCAAGGAAGAGTTCAGGACAGAGTTAGGCATGGCGGCCATAGTAGAGGGGACATATCACCTTGCCATTGAACATCGGGGCAAGGGCACACTAGTCTGCCTGACTCTGCCATAGTGGCATTATGGCATAGCCACCTACCACAGAAAGAGGTAGAAGGTGTAGGTCGTGCCACAGACTCATGCATTGCTGGTAGTAAGGAGGAGATTCAGGCTCTGGTACTGGTTAATTATTTCATTGATATTGTTATTATTTATTGTATTGCGGAGGCTGGGGGAGATGAGGAGGTTGAACGTGATGGCGAGTTGGAGGCAGATTTGGCAGTTGTCTTTGCTGGTGTCCATCTTCTTCTTCTTCTTCCTTTCTTTCTTCTTCTTCTTCCCAAGTTCTTTCATTTCAGTTGCAATCCAACGGCGTTGCCTCTCTTTTAAATTTGTGTTACTGCACTGCAAGATAGCCAGGATCATAACATACTTTAACAACATCCAGATATAAAAACACAAAGGAGGACCATCATGATGAGCCCCTATAGAATACGATTTGAGCCTTTGACCAGACCAGATCCTCAACCGGCTGCCAACGCATCTATTGCAAACACCGGAAATGCGAGTGCGAAATTTGGGTGTGCCCGTGGTAGCTCTCCTCCTTTGGTTTTTGTTCAAGTTGGGGCCTTTACCCCTTATGGGACCCCGTCCCCCACCTTGCTCTCCTCAATGCTACCCGGTGCAGTGTGCACCCCTACAGGGGCCCTACTCCACGCGGTCCCACCTCAGTGTCTACCGCTCAGGACATCACCCTTCTACTGTCTTAGTGGGGTGACCTGACCGGACAGCTGTTGCAGGAGCTCTTAGCGACAGAGGCTCATACGGATTGTTTCTAGGATGCCCACACATACAGCCCCCATCTGTGGCGTTGATATTGCCAATAACTCTTCTAGTACAGAACTGCCTAACACAAGCGATCCGAACCTAGTGTCTAATGACGAAAGCTCAAGGGCAATTCCACTGCTTCAACGATATCACCTATCATCTACTCTCTTGACCACTCCGCATGTGCAGTCCCGAATACCGTGTTCTTCTTTGACATAATCAGCTAGCAAGGGTCTGGTGTCCGGCACTGTCCGCTGACCAAGGTGGAACCACCTGTTCTGTGCGAGTGGGAGTGAGGACCCTTGACAACATGTCCTCCTAAAAACACTCTCCATGACGGAAAGGCGAGAGACCATTCACCGTCTGCAAAGTCAAACAAACTCCCTCATGCTGCTTCAAAGTTCAAACACTATTCTTGGTGTCCCAATACACACTAAGTCTTCTATTCCACAGGCTGCGCACAAACAGTGCAGTTTAAGGCCGCCTTTCCCGGTTTGACAACGCGGAGACCTTGGGGCTTATTCTTGCAGAAGTTGACTCGGGTGTATGCGGCGATGTTTACATTGAAGCTCCCACGAATCTTTGCACTATTGCCTCGGAAAGTGCAGCTACAGAAATTAATGTAGTCATAAGCTGTTTCACCCTCCACTTCCACGGCACCGCCTGACCCATTGCGGGCGGTGTTTCCAACAAACTCAGACTTGGAGAGCACACCGGAGCTGTCACCTCCGAAAATGACCGCGCCACCATTGCCATTCCTCGCCGTGTTTCCACGGAATATGCAGTCAATCAAATTGAGCCGACCCTCGTATGCGCGAGCCGCACCTCCGCTCGTGCCGGCAGTGTTGCCACTGAACACAGACCTTCTAACCGTTCCGACGCCATTGCTGTACACCCTGATGGCTCCTGCCTGAAACAGTGCCCGGTTGTTCCGGAACTGGCAGTCAGTCACCAGAAGAGGCGAGTCGCGGACAGCAAGAGCTCCAGCACTCAAAGCCTTGTTGTTCTCGAACACGCACCTCGTCGCGCTGATCTTCCCGTTGAACGCAAACGCAACTGCCCCAGTCCCATCCCCGAAATAGGTCCCATTCCTTGTGTCGCGCATGTTCTTGAAGTGGACATCGCTCATGCCCACATAATATCCTTCACTCTTGAAACCTAGAAACTTCCCCTGACCGTCCACAACGCAGAGGCGTGGTCTCTGCCGCTGGTCCCTGCATCTTCCCACGAGCGCAAAATCCTTCTTGGAGGGAGGCAGAGACGCCGTCAGAACCACGTCCGATGTCAAAACGAACTGGGTTACCTTGGGGTCCTTCAACGCCGCGACCAGATGCTTCTCTACGGAGATCCCAGCATTCGCAGCACCCACGGATACCACCCCAGTTTCGCTGGGCAACAACATCACGGCGATGCCAAACCACAGCATCATCACCATCATCATGAATTGCGGGGCCATCCTCGATGCGTGTGCAGTTTTCCGTACGAGGAGAGATCAGATTGGCATCAGCTTTGCTTTGAAGATCTTAGAGGTCGCTCTGCACTAAGCTGCCAAGAATTCCAGACAGCCTGAACAAGCAAGCAAAGAGGGAAGCAAGGCAGCCGGACAGCCAACACAGCAAATAGGGAAGAGGAAGACGTTAGAAATCAGAGAAAGGGGGGGGAAGACAGTACTGAATGATAGGCAAGACGGGATCATGATAGGCGATTGGGTATGGGTAATGGGTTCAAAGCCAAATTTTGAAAGGTTGTGAACGTTCTTTAGGACAGGTGCATGCCTCCACAACGTCCACGTCGTAGGATCATTACACACACATCTCCATGACGTCACTCCAATTATGTGGTAAATTTAAAGAAATTACACAACGCCCTCGATCCAATTATCACCGAAGAAGGAACTAAGAATATTCAACAACTGGTGTGACAGTCTCCTCTCCTGATAACATCTCTCCTTCTGCTGAGGCGAGGTAGTGTGAGGCGAGGTCACACTACCAAAGACGAATGGATTGAATGCCTGAACCTGGACGTGTCTGTTGGAAGGGTGCAGAAAATCGAGATTGAAGCGCTTTTTCCCATCTCCGAGTAAGAGAAGGGTAAAAGACATCCAGATTCAGGTCCCTTTTCCCCTGAACATAACGGTCACACTACCCAAGATGAATGGATTGAATGCCTGAACCTGGACGTGTCTGTTGGAAGGGTGCAGAAAATCGAGATTGAAGCGCTTTTTCCCATCTCCGGGTAAGAGAAGTGTAAAAGACATCCAGATTCAGGGCCCTTTGGCTACCGTATTCCCCTGAACATAACGCACCCTGAAAATGAACGTATGCAAGGTATATTTCCGGGCCAATACAGTGAAAACAAGGGTGCATTGTGTTCGGGGGAAGACTGTAGTGGGACCTCACCTCAGGTGGGATAGGCGAAGCTGGCTTCGGTGGCTTGCCTTTGGAGAACGAGAACCCCCAGATACAGCTTCTGACTACGGGTAGCATTTTTTTTATATTAGAAGTAAGCTAATTTTTTATCTCATTTATCTCATCTTCTTGCTAGTACTCATCTATCTCATCCTCTCCCTAGTCTATGTGTAGTACGGGCCCGGGGGACACCAACCAACCCGGATCTCTCCCTAGCGCACGGGGTAGGTTGGCACCACAGCAGTGGTGCAAGGGCAAGGCTGTACTAGTCACCCATCACCCTGATGAGGGGTGGGCAGGCGTGGCCGATGAGGGAAATCGGGGTGCTAGCGCCGAGCAATGGCCAGTCACTGCACCTCCCCCTACGCCCCCCCAATGAGCCAACATTGTTGTGAAAGAAAGGGCCTCTCTGCACTACTCTCCAACTGTGCAAAATGAGACTGAATCCACTGCTAAGATACATTGCCATCTTGTTTGTCTTTTGTGTGGAGAGTAGTGCAGCGAGGCCCAAAAACAAAGAAAGGAAAAACTTACCGTTTTCTTTCTCTTTTATTTTGAACAACAGCATACACTACTCCCCTTCAAAGTGAGATGAAAAACTATGCTTGCAGGGGTCCCCTCTAAATAGCCTTAGGAGTAGCCTTAGGAGTAGTGGTAGGTAGGTAGTGAAGAGGAATTTGGAAGAATTTGAAAGATGATGAAAGATTTGAGAGAGAAGAATATAGCGTAGTTTAAAAAAAATAAAAAATAAAAGGGGTAACTAGGGCGCAGTCACGAAAGCAGTTTGTAAATGCATTTGGAACTGCCTGTTTGCAGTCCAGTACCGTCCCAAGTTTCAACTGCAGTCGAAACACTTCACAGCATAAAAGTCGCAATGCCGAGTTTGCAACTGCAGTCCAGTCCGCCACGTGGCCTCCCAAGTTTGCAACAGCTTTTTTTTTTTTTATTATTATTTTTTTTTTTAATGTCGGCCGTGGCCGAGGCATTGCGGCCGGGACCATGTCCCATATGCACCGTTTAGTTGAGGCAGCTCAACGGTGCGACAGCTAAATAAAATCATTTTAATTCAATTTCAAATGAGAAATGCATTTATAAATGGCAGGAATACAATTGTTCTCGTTTTTCGTTTTTCACAATTGGAGTGGCATACGGGCACTTCCACAGCAGAAAATGAAGAGGTGCCCGAATCCCATCCAAAAATGGCAAACGGAAGGAGGCTCGTACAGTTTCTCTTGAAAAACGCCTGTTGGGGCAACAAGAGGGTCGTTGAACTAGCTGTCTCGAAAAAAGGAGACAGCTAGTTCAACGGAAAGTGGCGAGGGTAGGGGTAGTAGTATTCGAGAGAAAGGATTTATTYCTGTTTTTTKATGTAAGAAAAAGCGAAGATGGTCTCTATTGCCCATTTTATTAGAAACGGACCGTTAGATGAATTGGACGACTAGCATCTCCCTTGTCGCGTACAGTCACACAGGCTCGAAAACCCCACGTTGACCTAGCTCAAGGGAGCTAGTGGGACAAGGTCCCCGTGGCCAAACCACGCCACGAGATGCTCTCTTTTATTTTTTTTTATTTTTTTGAAACCTCGGATGTGGCCGAGGCATCGCGGCCGTGGCCAGCCACGCGACGGAGCCTAGATTTATAGGAACCAAAAAAAAAAAAAAACAGAGGGGGCCTTGATCCACTATTCTTGACATGCACAACGGAAGGGCGCTGTATCTTTTCCATGTTCTACAAGAAGATTCGCTCTCGTTTTGCACATCTCGAGAGTAGTGGAGCCATGCAAAACGAGAGTGAATCTTCCGCTACAACATGGAAAGATGCACCACCACGAGGCCCCAAGGATGACACGCATAGGTTGAGAAATCTGAGAAAGGAAAAAAAAAGACAAAAAAAAAAGAAAAGAAACTGGGTTTTTGTCAGCACGTGTCTCCCCTAGGGCCTCTGCGCTTTTGTCAGCCCGTGTATCCCGCTGGGGACCTGTATTCCGGTTGCACAGAAGACAAAAATCATGGAGCTGTATCTTTCCATGTTCTGGGGAAGATTCACTCTCGTTTTGCACATTTGGAGATCAGTTGTGGAAACCGAGAGTGAATCTTTCGGTAGAGCATGAAAAGATACAGGGCCACTATCTTTTTTTTTTTCCCTTCTTGTTTCTTCTTTTTCTTTTCGGAAAACGGCCTGGCCCTCCTACGTGGATGACTAGACTGCAGTTACAAACTCTGCCCTGCGACAGCCACRCGACGGGGGAGTTTGGACTGCAGTGTAAACTTGAGAGGGGACTGGACTCCAAAACGGCAATTTGAAATGTATTTTCAAACTGTAACCTTGACAGCGCCCTAGTTTTCTCAAAACAAAAAGAAGAAAACAGCAGAAATGCTTTTCAGTGGGTTGAGAGGTACCCTTAGGCAGCAGTCATCACAGTGTTTCAGGCTCATCAATAAACAAGGTCAATGTAATGGGATGCTGGACCCCTTTTCCAGCAGGTGAAGCTCCCCACCAATAGATGGAAGTGCTAGAGGGGTCTGCTCTTATCAGCTCCCCTAGCATCAACCCAGGTGTGGTAAAAAAAAAAAAAAAAAAAAAAAGTTTTCTTCCCCACATGTGAAAAAGACAAATATGGCGAGTACATCTGGCCATGTTCTAGCAGGATGTTCATTCTCATTTTGCACATTTTGCGAGTGGGGTGGCCAGAAGCCCGGTAGTAAAGCAGAGCAAAAACACCTCACCTCTGCGAAAATGACAGTTGTTGTGACTTGGCAAGTTGGAATCAGCGCTTGCTCAGTCTCAGAACAGAAAGGACATTTAACCTACCGTGTTCCCCCCAGTAGGAGTAGGAGAACGCACGGTCATTGGGCTTCTCTTCACGGATCAGGAAATGTGCAAAATGAGATTCGAATAGAACATGGAAAGATGCACAGCAATATTTCTTTTTTTTTCCCTTCTTTTTTTTTCTTTTTTTTTTTGAACTGTGACAGTCTTTTTAAAGTTTTTATTAGGGCCCACGCCGGCCCAGTGCCCAAGGCCGAAAATACAACGGTACAGGTTCCAGATTCAGGGGAAGTAAGGTCGCCAACCTACTTCATGAGGTGGAGCCCCTCTCTGTGACAGTTCGAGCAAAACCAGAAAAAAAGGGACAAAAAGAAAAGGAGGAAAAAGAGGGGAATATGGGATAAGCTATAGGGGGATGAAGAAGTGCCAAAAAGGCTAAAAACGACTTACAGTGTGTCTTGAGCTGGGGTCTGGCCTCAGTGAAAAGTCAGAGAGAGACCAAATGCTAACAAACAACCACAGGGAGTCGCAATAGGAAAAGAAGGGAAGGTATTTAACGAAAGTCAGAAGAAAAAATAAGCAAAACAGTTGATCTACTGTAAGAAAGAACCGAATTGGAAATCCCCCGTACAGGCATCAACGCACCCCAAGGAGGGGTTGTAGGCCCAATGACTGTGGCTGTCTTTGTGGATGCTGAGAGTAGTGGAGCGAGGGCTATTGAAATTAGTTTGGTTTTGTAAATAAAACAGGGCTCCATTCTATCTGTGGGGAGCAGCACATGCTGGGAACCGGGCTCAGCGTCCCTTATCGTGTACACAAGGCTGAGGTGGGTTTAAACCCTTGACGTAAACCCTTGACGAGAAGAGAGTTTGCGCATCGCAAATGAATGCCTCCTCCCATTGGTCACAGTGTGGTGCTGATGATTATCTGAAAAGAGTGGGAATGGGCCAGGGGTTTGAATCCCCTCCGCCACGTCTTCAAACGAAGACAAAGAACGCATGGTCATGAGAGCTGTGTGTATTTTGGACACCCTTCAGTCTAGTAGATACAGCGATAAAGACGGCACGTTCTATTCGGTAGAAGAGTGGTATACTTGTAATTAAGAAGAGTGCTATACTGGTAATTGAGGGCGGGGTCCCCACAGTCTACCCGCCAATGTCACAGATACCTGGCAGGGGTAATACCTGGCTATGCTTGCACAGGAGAACTCTGGCTGAATTCGTTCTATTTGGCATTTTTTTGGCATTTGACTATTCAGTGTGCTAAGTTCAAAACAAATTTTACTTTATAATGAAGAAATTCTAGTAGCTTTTAGTTTTGTGGGTTTTGTTTTATTTAGTCAAAAAACATTTGGCGAAACTTTCAAGGCTACTTTTGAAGCAACAAGAGAATCTGTTGTTTCGGAATTACAACAACTCATGAGTTCTCAAGAGTCTCTGGAAACTGGGTCCTGCGTCCCCTAGTTAGCCAGGCTTTTACTGCACTCACACTGGGACCTATAATCCCAAATCCCCCCCAAAAAAGGGTATCAGGCCGATCACACAGATTTGCCAAAGTACCAAATGTACTATTGGTGGGCCCATTTGTCAGCGGCCTGGGCAGCCACGGGGCAAGGGATTTTGCAGTCAGCTCTCAGACTGGAGGTGACCGCAGATGCCCTATTTTTTTTCTTCACATTTTCTTCAAAAATTGGCAAAAATTCGTTCACAAAAGCTATTGCACATTTTGTGGATGACTCCGTGTGACCAGCGAAGTATCAAATGGCAAATCCGCATTCCTCAGATGGCCGCTACCTTGTCCCATCTGAAGAGGTACAGCAGTGTGACCTGAACCATGCCCAAAACCTCAAATCGGGTCGCTGTGTGAATATGCCCAAACCATTCTGAGGGCATACTCGCAGAGGGCATACTCACACTACTGTCTTCACGGGAATAGAACACCCCCTCATTATTGCTGCATCTGGACTGAAAGTCGCGCCAAAATACAGTTATAATGACCGGGCGTTCTGTTCAGGTTCGGGTGACGAGGGTAGCACGTATAATGGCAAATGCGCCAATTTGCGATTATACAGCATGCCGCACAGCACGTCACACAGCACATCACACAGCATGTCACAGAGCACGTCACACAGCACGTCACACAGCACAGGCACACGACCTAGTCCCCAAATGCGATTATACGGTTGGACAGACGAGTCACACAGTGTGACACATAAAATCCGTCTCCAAACGAATTGATTTCACGTCAATTTTCTTTTGTTTCCAGAAAGAAATAGGTCAGAGGGGTGGACTCCACAGGAAAAAGGATGGAAAAAGGGTCGGGCGAAAAAAAAGGGGCAAAGAATTTTTTTTTATTTTTTTTCTTAAAGGGAGATGGCCTTAGGGTATTATCATCGACTAACCAGCCCAGGTAAATTCAATCTTGTGTCTAATCTGACAACGGTGGCCTGATAGCCTTAGGGTGGCCTGATAGCCTTCAGGGAACCCCCAACCGGGGGACACGGGCAAGGGGACAGCCAGTGGCAGAGGGACCGAGCATCATCTGAGTGGCCAGTCGCTGTGCCTCCCCGAAGCTGGAAAGCAGTTTTGCAGGGACCCCACCGTGGAGGGCCAAATGCTCTTGGAAAACCCTTTGGAAATCCGTTGAGCCAACCTTTCCGCGGTCCTGTGGGGTCCAACCCTAAACGAAATATGCAATTGCAGGGACCTCACGAAATACGTAACCGGCGGCTGTCCAGGCAGCTGACATTTACGAGCTCCTTTGCGTGAAAACGCAAAGGGAAAAGTCATAAAACCTCATTTCCGAGCCCATTTGCGTGAAAACGCAAAGAGTCGTCCTTCGGGACATCCGTTAAAACTGGAACGATACAGAGAAGATTAGCATGGCCCCTGCGCAAGGAGTCAACACGCATGAATCGAGAAATGGTCAAAATAAAAATAAAATAAAAAACGCAAAGGGAAAGGTCAGGGAAAAGTCATAAAACCTCCCAGCAACGAAACCTTTGTATCCATTTCCCCCCAAACGAGAGAAAAAGTGCCGCCGGTCCGAAAATCACTTTCAGCCTCATTTTTGCACCCTGGAAAACACTTTCCCGCCATTTGTACACAGCGGCAGTTAGCGGCCCAGCCAGGGTGAAAAAAATACACCAAAAGTGATTTTCGTACCTTTTTTTTGACACACCGGCCGTTACAGGCCCAGTCAGGGTGCAAAAATGACACCAAAAGTGATTTTTTTTTTTCCAAAAGTGATTTTCGGACCTGCGGCACTTCTTTGCTCGTTTGGGGGCAAATGGATAAAAAGGTTTCGTCGCGGGGAGGTTTTACGATACCCCAAAAGTAACGCGAAAGTTACTATTTACGAAAATACGTGGTCGTGTGATTCTGCCCTAAAATCCAGAACCTGGATCTGCCACCTGTCTGCTATACCTGTCAGCCTTAGGCTGTCGAAAATGCGTGATCAGCTAGCCTTGCTTATAGGGGCAGATGCAGGGTAACTAATGGCGTGGAAGGCGAGGCCTGTCGTCATTGCATCGGACTAAAAGAAAGTTGCTTCAAGTACAGGCGTAATTATGACGGTGTGTTCTATTGGAAGAAAAACTGTAGCTGACGAGCGGCCACCGTGGTGGCTCCGCTTTCAGCAGCTTACTGTGTGTAATACTGTCTACCATGTCACCTCCTCTTGACTGTATCATCCTCATGAGGACCACCTCCGCACACCATCGCCTTCTTTGTCTGTCGGACTCTCGCGCACAAGTCCAGTCCGTCTCGTTAGCACAGCCGGACCCTGTTTCTCTTCCCTTGTACGAGCTCCTCCCTTCTAACGATCTTCTTCCGCGTCCTAAGCAGTAACCGACGTCTCCCATCTTCGCACGGGACAGCCTCGCTTCTTCTCCTCCCCTCCCCAGGCTTCGCAGAAGACCCGTCCTGACGCCCCGTCCCCTCCCCATTGTCCAATTTGTCCCCAATCCTCGCCGTTTGTCTGTTCTTGTTCTCGTATGCCCGCCTGAGGACAGTTCTAGAAACTGCAGGGAGCAAGAGCGCTCGAATGGACATATCTACTTGCCCGACACTTACACCCCCTCTTTCTTCCGCCGGTGGAAGCACACGCGCGCGCACGCCACACACACACACACACACACACACACACACACACACACAGAGAGAGAGAGAGAGAGAGAGAGAGAGAGAGAGAGAGAGAGAGAGAGAGAGAGAGAGAGAGAGAGAGAAGCATGAGCACCCCACCGCCCGCCCGCAGTCGTTGCGTCGTTAGAGGGAGAGAGAGAGGGAGGAGTATAAGCAACCACGCCCCGCCCGGCACCCGCCTTCATTTGGGGGGGCCAGAGAGAGAGAGAGAGAGACAGACAGACAGAGAGGGTGGAATCGGGCTTTATGACGCTGTTTCTATATATGAGAGTAGCAAACGAAGTGTGTGTTGATGTGTTGACGCAAGACTCCGGGCATATTCACACTAGGGCGGTCAGGACGTAGATGACAGCAACCATGGCCGATGTCATCGTGTGACGACTCCCCGTCGTTATAGGATGAGCGGTCAGACTGCAGCCAAACGCCGACAGTCACTACCGTATGCCTCCACCATGACTCCACCGAACATTCATCTTACAGCTCTGTCAATCCTACGAACTCTCCACCGAACATTCATCTTCCAGTTCTTTCTATCCCCTATGAACTATCAGAGGAACCATCGGAACCCTTGCCCTGGGACCGCAGTGTCAATTACTTCATCTCGTGCAGTGCAGAGAGACACGCCTAAACTATCAACCGGGCGACTGCGCAGTGAAGAACCATGACGACAAATAGATTAGAAAGACAATGGATGGGGAGAGCAGTAGGTATGTTATTGATTGATGAGCTTGGTGTTGAGGCATTTTATCAATCAGACAAAGGAAGCGGATGAAAAATACCGACGCGAATTACGGACAATTACAATAAGAGCGGTTGAGAGCATCCATCTTGTGACTAGGGCAAACAAAGCGAAAAAAAAAAAGAGGGGGGGTGGGGGAGAAAGAAAACGGAATAGAGCAAAAGGAAAAATCCTCACTTGCCGGCCCCTCGACGCGTTTGTGCAGCCACCGCGGTGTAATCACGAAGGTAGAGAATCCAGGCTCCTACGACTCACACATCTCTCATACGAATAAGCACATCAGCTCTCTGCCACACACACACACACACACACACCCACACACCCACACACCCACACACACACACACACACACTCACACGCACACGCACACGTTTCATGTACCTACGTATGGAATTCGTCAAAAAGATGCGTTCAGGACGTATGCGCCGCTCGCCATCCGCCAACATTTTGTACGCATTTGGACACGGAACTCGTCAAGATGCATTCAAAATGTTGGCGGATGGTGAGTGGTGCAACTGGGCCCAAGGCAACAACACTGGTAATTCGATCGAACACGTCTGACAGAACTCTTGACGTGCTAATCAGCACTCCCAAGTTCAGCGGTTCCGACGTAAACCAGGGGCCAAGTCCGCTGTCACCAGATTCTTCATTTCGGGCCGTCGATCACAGGAATCAACGGTCTCAAATCGAGAAATCGGGTGAGTGGGACGTGGCCCCAGGGTTTGTTAATGTGCGATGAAGGCTCGCGAGGAGGACAGCGATGGCTAATGGTAGGACAGCGTTGCTCTCCTTACACGCACTCACCTCTTCCACCTTCCTCTGCTGCCGCTGCCACAGTGTAGACACTGTAGAGTTGTACCGCACGCCTGAGTGGTCTAGAACATGGAGGCGGGAGCGGCGCATATCATGAACACCTGCTATTGTCACCTTTCAGATCGTGACTTTATGTCTCTACTCGAGGACCGGCACGGTGGCACCTCCTTCCCCACACCACCTGCCCATCGGCCTCGCCGCACGGCACGTGAAACGCAAGACGAACCTTGCCGCCTTCTGCAGGCAGATGCCTTCTTTCCTTTTTCGTCATGGATCCAGCCGTCAGAATTCTCAGAAGGTCATACTACGTACTAGTGGGAGGGCGGCGCGGTTGAGGGGGTGAGTCTCAACTAAATCTGGCCGTGATTGTGGCCATATGCACTCACGAAGGTGCTGGGCGCACAGCCTAGATGCTGCGATTCTCTGTTCAAGATCGCCGTGCGTTGGTCTGATGAACCGCTCCCGTTCCCTGACCCTTCGTCTGCAGCGCACGAAGATTTTATTTTTTTCCCCTTCTGAGCTGGATGCTCGCCCATGCCATTTTTCCTTCTTCTTTTATTTTTCTAAAAGGGCGACGGCCTTGAGATATAAGTTTTGGTCATCTCTTGGAAGTGGACTCGAGCTTTGGTCTGGAATGCAACAGGCTGAGCTCGTGTGTGTACGAACTGAGCTCTGCCCGTCGGTACACACGCCATCTTCTGTCCCCTATCCCTGGGCAGTTTTGTTGCCTGCAACAGCCCCCCTGGGAGCAGTCGCATTCCATCGTCCCCGAGCACAACGCACCCTCCCATGAATGTATGATACAGGCGTGAGTAGGACGCTGGGGAAGGATGGTAACGGCCATGATAGGACAAAAGGGCGCCGTTGTTCCTCTCGTGTGTTTCGCTCCGATTTTTTTTTTTTTTTTCTTTTTCTTTTTTTTGGCCTTTTTCCCCTTTTTAGGGTTTTGTTGGTTGGATTTGGGTCTCCCTCCACTACTCTAGAAACCAGCCATTTCTTGAGCTCAGCACCGCTCCACTCTAGAGGCGAGGTCTGGAATTCGGGTTCTTGAGCTGTCCGCGTCTACTCACGAAAATGGGAAGAATCCGTCGGTCCTGATGCTACGGGCTGACCCCTGGCCGCATCTGACCCCTGGCCGGTATCGCCCACTTGCTGTAGAGGTATCGCACCTGTTGGTGGGTGCAGCTCCCGCATGTTCCCTCGTTGGAGGCTTGAGCACGGATGTCGCTGCTACGGGGTTCCCGGTAATACTATAATGACAATAAAAAAGGCCTGAAAGGCCATCCTGTCCAGATTTGACAGGTAATTGAATTGGTTGGGCTTTAAAGAATTAGCCTTTTATAATATAAAAAAAAAAAAAAAAATCGGTCTTCGCTCTACTACCTCATGAAACACACTCACGAAAATCTTTTTCGTGAGTTGTCAGAATGTCCTCTCCTGTGGCACTCTTGACGTTTGGAGAGCGCCCGCCTGCAGCGGCGGGAATTTCAAGGGAGGCAGCGAGGACCTTCAAAAGTTGAGCATTTTTGGGCCTCTCTGCACTACTCTAGACTCTCGAATTTTTGAGAGTGGGACGTCGCTGCACTACTCTGGACTCACGAAAAATTTTGTGAGTACTTCTAGAGCTGTCAGAGGTCTAGAACTCATGAAAAAAGTGGCGTCGCTCCACTTACTCTAGACTGAAGAACTCTAGAAGCACTCACGAAATTCTGATACCGTTTCTAGAGTAAGTGGAGGGACACCGATCACTCTGGAAAGGCAAAAAAAAATAAAAACAAATGACTGCATATGGCCACGTTCTAGCGGTGGATACATTCCGGAGCCGAGAGTGAGTACAGCGCTACACGACAGCGCCAGCTCGCTCTGACGGTCGCGGCAAGAGGCACACTCACGAAAAAAGAGGCCGGAGCGGCCGCAGGAGGGAGGACGCTGGAAATCGTGAGCGTCGCAGGCTGTGAACTTTATACTACTCTAGAGTGCCCTTCCAAAGCACTTTCTGACAGCTCTCGAAGGGTGTTTTCACGAGTTAAACTCTAGAGTAAGTGGAGCGAGGCGTTACTCTCGAAACTTCGAGAGTCTACAGTAGTGGAGCGAGACCCTCTATCGGGAAACTCTCGAAACCCGATAGAGAGCTGTCAGAAGGCATGCTATATCGCCACTCTCGAAATGTCGAGAGTCGCCCGCGTGCAAAACGCGAATTCTCAAGTGTCCTCGGGAGTTGCCCGCCGACCGGCTCGTTTTTCGAGAGTGGACCTGTCCCGGCGGCCAGACTTCGTCCGTAGCGCAGTGGTGCCGCTGTTCTGTCGAGTGGGACAACGCGCAGGGTTTGGAGAGTTCATCAAGTGTAGCGGTTTATAGAGTAAGTGCACCGAAGGCGGGTATTTCAAGAGTATAGCCTCCCTGACAACGCTAGACGAACTCTTGAAATATTTCGAGAGTCTGGAGTAGTGCAGCGAGGCCCTTTATGGAGTGCACCTGGAGTCTGGGCGGACAATAACCTGCTGGCCGTGTCGTGTAGCTCTCTCAAAGAGCGGTCTGACATCCGAGAGGCCTTCTCGAGTTCTACCTTCTAGAGTAAGTGGAGCGATGTTCTCTTTTTCAGTCTTTTCTAGAGTCTGACAGCTCTAGACTCACTCTCGAAAATCTTCGAGAGTCTAGAGTAGTGGAGCGAGACCCTTTGGAAGGTTCACATTTGGAACGCTCCAGAGAAACACACGTCACTTTTTCGAGTGACGCGGGGAAGGTTTGACTTGCGTAAGCCACTGAAATGGACAAAATTTTGACTTGCGCAGGCCTCTGTAACAGATATACAAAGCGTACATGACAACCGGGTCACCTGGAACAGGCGGCCCAACCCTCAGAAATCATCATCGAACTGACCGGGCCTAGTAACCAGGCCTGAGCAGTGTCGGAACCCGGGTCTGGTTTTCAACAATGGACCGTGGGGTGGGCGGCCCAACCCTATTTCCTGACGGCCGCCAATTAGGGAGGGGGGCAACATTCATCTCCTTGATTGCCGGAGATAGCTATGCTTACAAGGGTCCCCTATATACGCTTAGGAGTAGTGGTAGGTAGGTAGAGTGAGTGAATTGAGAGTAGAACATAGCCTGCTAACCAGATAGCTATGCTTACAAGGGTCCCCTATATAGGCTTAGAGGTGGACCCCACTGCCCAAAGTCTGGAAAGGCAGTTTCCGTGGTAAAGCGATGCGGAAGTCCTGGAAGGTTTCGGAAAAGAAAAGACGGGACCCCACCGAAGTGCCTCATTTCCAGACTTTTGGAAGAGTTCTTCCAGACTTTCGGACCAGTTTGGCTGTTTTGTCCGCCGTCGAAGCTCGGGTAGGCCGTGGTGGACCTGCTGACGGGTCGTGGGTGACAGCGGCTTCGTCCGTCCGCCCGTCCGACCTTCGGCTGGGTAGCACCGTCCGGACACAAAATGGACCTGCACGATCTTCCAAGTCTGGAAGACGTAGGGGGATGCCCCCCCCCTACCCCTTGCGTTTGCCACAAAATTTCGGTGAGGCTGACGTGGATCGACCGTTTTCCGCCCGGAAAAGGGCTTGGAAACTCGCTCTTCTCTTTTCCAGGCACCACTTTTCCGGGCGGTGGGTTCTGGGAAATACAAAAAAAAGGACTTCCATACACTTTTCCAGAGGCTGTGGGGTCCGAGAGAACACCCGGCGGAAGAGTTCTTCCGAGATTTTCCCCTGTGGGGTCCACCTCTTAGGAGTAGTGGTAGGTAGGTAGAGTGAGTGAATTGAGAGTAGAACATAGCCTGCTAACCCTGGTTAAGCCATAGCTACCTACGAGCCTCATTTTGCCAAGGTCAGCTGGTCTTTTTGAATTTTCTTTGGCTGCTTCCACCAGCCGTTTTGGTTCGGGGCGCAATAATGCAGTATAGATCTTAGGTTATACTGTATTTTTAGCGGGTTTGGAGCATTTTTTTTTTTATTTTTTTTTTTGTGTGTGTGTGTGTGTGTGGTTTCGGGTTTTCCTCTGAAAATCCACCGGCCTAGCTCAGTTGGTTAGGCACGCAAGTGGCATTCAGGAGGTCTTGGGTTCAATCCCCACTGGCCTCATGCACCTTCCTGGGCAAGCTGGGCACCCGCCACCTAGAGCTATGCCGTTGGTCCCCCCCAGTGGCATTGAGCAGAGACTGCTGATGTTCATAGGGGGAGGGGACCGGAGGGGAGGCACAGTGACTGGCCCATCGAAGAAGCTCGGTCCTGATGCTACCGGCTGACCCCTGGCCGGTATCGCCCACCTGCTGTAGCAGGCATTGCACCTGCTGGTGGGTGCGGCTCCCGCATGTTCCCTCGTTGGAGGCTTGAGCACGGACGTGGCTGCTACGGGGTTCCCCGTAAGGGCCTGATCTGACTACTACTGTTGAAGGGGAGAACCAAAAAGAACCGCGTTGCTCGGCCCCGGGCCGGTCGGACCGAAAAAGCGAAATTGCATCCCACTTCCCCGGTTGAAGCGGGACTTTTTCGAAGTTCGTGCCAGGTATTCATGGGCGGGGCATGCAGGGCCATTCCTGACGGACCACCGGACACCAAGAAAAACCAAAAAAAAAAAAAAAAAAAAACGCCTTCTTTTTCGATGCGGGGCGGTGCTGGCTTCTACCGATTTTAGCCACTTCTTTTTCGCCGTGGGTCGCGGAACACCTGCCACGTACAACTTTGTTTTCACTTGCTGCTGAACTCGACGGGGAGACCTACAAAATCGGAAAGTAGTCGGATCCCGTCAAAACCAGTAGACTACGCTCCGTAGCAGTAGTCGGATCAGACCCTAATACTATAATGACAATAAAAATGGCCTTAAAGGCCGTCCTGTCCAGATTCGACAGGTAATTGAATTGGTTGGGCTTAAAAAAAAAGGTTTTCCTCTGAAAGGTAATGGTGGTGGTGTGTTTTTTTTTTTTTTTTTAATTGAAGTGTAGCTTGCATTTAACAACTTGGTATCCGGAGGTCGGGAATCCTCCACAAACAACCCGGACGGACTGGGGCCAATACCCAGATACAGATAGGCTTGTACTGGAAACCGGGTCCAGTGTCCCAA